AACTTATTTATTGATTTTATTTTAATAATATGATTGAATTTTTATACATAGACAAATTGTCTAGTTTGTATATAAATAAATTGAATTGCGACTCTTCCTAATAAACTTCAACATTATACACAAATTATCAGGTGTTAATTTCAAATCAACCAAACTAATATTGTTTCTAACTCTTGAACTTGTCAAATTCAAATGTATGCCAAAAGATCAATAATGATGAGTGTTTGACACGTCTTTACATTATTTTTAAGGGAAAAATTGTTCGATACTCACTAATTAAGTCTAACATGAGTGAAAAAAAAAAAAAATAGTGTGGAGAAAATATGTATACAAAACATAACAGCTAATTTTCAAGTCAGTGAGAAAAATGCCAAGACCAGCGTTAGTTACACGTTCTATTAGTTTTTTGTTTTGGTCAAGAAGTTCTACTGTTTAAAATGCATATTTTCACTTATACAGTGAACGTTCAGATGCCACGTTGCTCAGCAGCCTTCAACACACAACGTTCCTTTGACTGAAGCTCTCGAGCAGGATTGCTATTTGCTACTTCAAAACCATATTCAAGGAAAGATGCGCCACCATATTATCTTTAGACTAGACAGTGGTGGGTGATATAAGATCTTCAAAACAATCGTTGTTATAAAATCATTAATTTACGTATAATTTAGAAAAATATTTATTTTAATCTTTATAGCTAGAAGTTTCATTGAGTAAAATATAAAGAATGTAAATAAAATGAGAACAGTCAAATATTTCATAAAAAATTAAAAGCCATCAATGTCTTTTCTTTGTCATCTTGTGGTGTAGGAGACTGGGAATAAGCAATAATTGTTTTCATCCCGATGTATCTCACATGCCCACCAACATTGAAGATGAGTGAGAAGCCCGCGGTACAGTGTCATTCGGTTGCTTATAAAAGGGCAATGATGGAAGCTTGTTTCCTCAGGCTGAAAAACATCTCAGTTAATTAGCCTCACTCAGGATTACTCAATTCCCACACTCGTTCATTACGCTACCAAAGCCAAGATCAAACAAACAAGCACACACCATGTTGCTCCAACTTGCAATTACCTTATTGGTCATAGCTCTGTTCATGCACTTACGTCCCAAACCAAGTGCAAAATCTAAGGCCCTTCGTCACCTCCCTAACCCTCCAAGTCCAAAGTCTCGTCTTCCATTCGTTGGACACCTTCACCTTTTGGACAAACCACTTCTCCACCACTCCCTCATTAGTCTCTCTGAACGTTATGGCCCTTTGTACTCTCTCTACTTTGGTTCCATGCCAACCGTTGTTGCCTCTACTCCTGACTTGTTTAAGCTCTTCCTTCAAACCCACGAGGCTTCTTCCTTCAACACAAGGTTCCAGACCTCTGCCATCAGACGCCTCACATATAACAACTCTGTGGCCATGGTTCCCTTTGGACCTTACTGGAAGTTCATTAGGAAGCTCATCATGAACGACCTTCTCAATGCCACCACCGTTAACAAGTTGAGGCCTCTGAGGAGCCAAGAAATCCGTAAGGTTCTCAAGGTCTTGGCCCAAAGTGCAGAAGCCCAAAAGCCCCTTAATGTCACCGAGGAACTTTTGAAATGGACAAACAGCACTATCTCTAGGATGATGTTGGGTGAAGCTGAAGAGATTAGAGATATTGCTCGTGAGGTGCTTAAGATCTTTGGGGAATACAGTTTAACTGACTTTATTTGGCCTTTGAAGAAACTCAAGGTTGGAAAGTATGAGAAGAGAATTGACGAAATATTTAACAAATTTGACCCCGTCATTGAAAGGGTTATTAAGAAGCGCCAAGAGATGAGGAAAAGGAGAAAGGAGAGAAACGGAGAAGTTGATGAGAATGAGCAGAGCGTTGTTTTCCTTGACACTTTGCTTGAATTTGCTGAGGACGAAACCATGGAGATCAAAATTACCAAGGATCAAATCAAGGGTCTCGTTGTGGTGAGTTTCTTGCTTCGGTTTATCGAAACAAAGTTCTCATCCTTCTATATATGTTTGTGTCCAAAGTGAATGAACCTATACACGTGTTTAATAATGTTCCGACGCCTTTTTGTGTGCAGGATTTCTTCTCAGCAGGGACAGATTCCACAGCCGTGGCAACAGATTGGGCATTGTCAGAGCTGATCAACAATCCAAGGGTGTTTCAAAAAGCAAGAGAGGAAGTTGACAGGGTTGTTGGAAAAGATAGACTTGTTGACGAAGCAGATGTTCAAAACCTTCCTTTCATTAGAGCCATTGTGAAGGAGACATTTCGTATGCACCCGCCACTCCCAGTAGTGAAAAGAAAATGTGTGGAAGAGTGTGAGATCAACGGGTATGTGATCCCAGAAGGAGCATTAATACTTTTCAATGTATGGGCTGTGGGAAGAGACCCTAAGTACTGGGACAGACCTTTGGAATTTCGTCCTGAAAGGTTCTTAGACAGTGGTGGTGAAGGGGAAGCAGGTCCTGTTGATCTTAGGGGCCAGCATTTCCAACTGATCCCATTTGGGTCTGGTAGAAGAATGTGCCCTGGTGTCAATTTGGCTACTGCAGGAATGGCAACACTTCTTGCTTCTCTTATCCAGTGTTTTGACCTGCAAGTAGTGAGCCCAGAAGGTGAAATATTGAAAGGCAATGATGCCAAAGTTAGCATGGAAGAGAGACCCGGTCTCACAGTTCCAAGAGCCCATAATCTCGTGTGTGTTCCACTTGCAAGAGAAAGTGTCGCAGTTAAACTCCTTTCCATATAAGACACCACACTGAAACAGCATTTTGCCATATATGTTTCTTTTACATAGTAATAATCATTTCATTGAGACAATAAGGTGTCATTGATACGTAAATGGATCAAAGTTCCATTATACGAGCTTACCCATACACGTTCACTCAATTTGTTTCTTTGGTACTGTGATATGTATTCTTTTTCTTTTTTCTTTTTGTCAAATTAGTCTTATGACGACTGAAATATATTATTTTTGCTTGCATATCTATTTATATTGTACACTCAGCACATAGAGAGAAAATAATTGAATTTATGGTGGGGTTCCTATTAGTGTGAATACATTAATGGTCAGCTTTATATTGTTATCACAACATGGCTCACAAAATTTGGCATCATTATATACGTTTGCGTGAGTGTATCATATATATATGTAAATACCATTGTTCTTGAATACAAGACTCGATTTAAATGTTAGGATAAAATTTTAAAAAAAATTAACATTAGGTTAACCTCTTAAATACTTATCATATTAATTTTTTTAAAAAATTAAGTAATTTTTATTTGAATTTATAACATAATAAAATGACCTACTTAATATTACTTCAGAAACTTATTTAATATCATAATTTTTAAAACTCATATAAATATCAATTTTTTAAATGATAAATTAACTTTCTAATATTTTAAAATAAATTATAATAATTTAAAATTAATTTATAAAAATTGGTGTACAAATACAAAGTTAAATGTTGATTATACAAAATGAACGGTGGAAAGAAAACTTTTATATTGTTCGTCTTAAGATTGTTATTCTAAAGTTAATTTTGAATAATATATTATTCTAAACATACTATATTACATGGATTATAAATAAAGAAATATCAAAATAAATAAATAATTATTAAATCACATTGATAAGATGCAAATGATAAATGTTAACGACTAATTTATAAATTTAATTTATGAAAAATAAAAAATAAGTATATTTTAAAAAAATGAATATTATCGTTAATATAAATTTGGATTCACGGTGAACTATGTATTTTTCATTGAATTACTAATATGCGTATTTATCATTTAAATTATATTTTAAATTATTAAAATGATTCCAAGTTTATAAGATTTACGCTGAACTCAAATTTATCTTCACAATAACGGTACCTTCCTAAAAGAATAAAAAAATAAAAAAACAATAAAGATGCTTACATAGATAGCACATGGATGTGTAAAAGGTACGAAAAAAACATTTTAAAAAATTTTTAATTTAAAAAATAACTATGATAAATTAAATTTTTTATTTTTAAATAAAATATAATAAATTTAAAATATTAAAATTAAAAAAATGTATTTGATAAACTTTATTATAACCGTTTGAATAAAAGACATGTTAAAAGAAATATGATGGTGCCATGATGGGAATTTTTTTATAAGCATAAGAAATTAAAAAATAAAATATATATGATAAACTTAATTATAACCGTTTAAATAAAAGAAAACCAACAACTAAGAGTACGTTTGTTTGCATTTTTTAAAAAGAGTTTTCTCTTTTTAAAAACTAAAATTACATGTATTTTTAACTTTTAAAAAGAGAAAATTCTTTTTAAAAATGCAAACAAATATACCTTAAGATTGTACGTTAAAAGAAATAGGTTAAATTGTATCTTTCATCCCTTTATTTTGAAAAATAACAAATTTGTTCCGTTCAAATGGCTAGAACGATACAACAAACTAGCCAAGAAATGTCATGAAGAGAGGGGTACTTGAGAGTTGAGGTTCATCGTGTAAGAAAAATAATCTATGGTCGTGTCGAAATTTACAAGATAAGCTGTTCTCAAATCATTACAAAGGCTTCTCCAATTTCACAAGAGATACGTGACAACATTTTTCATTAGACTGATCTTCATACATAAGTGGCTTCTTTGCCCTTCTAAAGTTTGTGATTAATGTATCTGTGTTTCTTATAATAATTTATAGGTCGGAAAACCGATCAAAGCAAGCAAAGAGACCACACCCTTGCCTTTTACTACTAGTTTAATCGTTTATGTATGTGCTGAACAACTTCATTCCTCTCATATTTCTTTGCTTCCTATGGACACTAAAATATGATTACCTCTAGTTTGCACTCATAAAGATCCTTTTGCAAGGTACGTGGTTTCTTGCTGCTGGTCTTCATCTCATTTGTATAAATTGATGCTGCTAATATTATCTTAGCATCACTCTATTCCTTAACCATTACAACAACCGTTGGGAAGTAATTACTGGTCCACTAGCATAGAAGTTGGAGAAATGGGTCCTCTGGCTATATTTCTGGTCTATGTACTTTCGTTAACTAGTAAGTTTGAAGGAACGCACTCCTTTCCTTTTGCATAATCTTATTTACAGCTAATTAGTCTCCTTAAGATACTTAACATTAATTAAAGAATTACAAGTAAAAAACAAAAAAATTGTTAAAAAGTATGAGAATGATCTCACTTGTGATTTCCAATGTATTCACAACTTAATTTTTACTAAAACATTTGTTTATTAGTTTCTTAATCTTTAGAAAGACCTTATTTTATAAACACCAATTTTCATAATTCTACAGGAGCAAGAGCCGCAAGCGACATAGGTGTCAACTATGGCCAACTTGGGAACAATTTACCCTCTCCATGTCAGTCCATTGAGTTACTAACAAGAATGAAGGCTGGTCGCGTGAAGCTCTACGATGCTAACCCTGAGATTTTAAATCTTCTATCAACTACAAAGCTCAAAGTTTCGATCATGATCCCAAACCATGAAATATCAGGTATTGCTGCCAACCAAAGCATAGCAGATGAATGGGTGCGAAACAATGTTGTCCCCTACTTCCCCACAACCATGATCCGCTTCCTACTTGTGGGCAATGAAGTGCTGAGCTACAATTCAGAACAAGGCCACCAAATGTGGCACGATCTTGTCCCAGCAATGCGAAGGATCAAAAGATCTCTCACGGCTCACAACATCACTGGCATCAAAATTGGCACCCCATTAGCCATGGATGTCTTGAAATCAACTTTCCCACCTTCAAGTGGAAGGTTCCGATCTGACATAAGAGACTGTGTAATGGCACCAATGCTGAAGTTCTTGAACACAACCAAATCATTTTTCTTCATTGATGCATACCCATATTTCCCATGGTCACAGAGCCCCAAAAATATTAGCCTTGACTTTGCTCTATTCAGGGGAAATTTCAGCGTAAGAGACCCGCACAGTGGCTTGGTCTACACCAATTTGTTAGACCAAATGCTTGACTCCCTCATCTTTGCCATGTCCAAACTCGGGTACCCCAACATCCACCTCGTAATATCCGAAACAGGTTGGCCAAATTCTGGCGACAAAGGAGAACATGGAGCAAACATATGTAATGCAGCCGCTTATAATCGCAACCTCATTCACAGAATGACAACAAAACCACCCCTTGGAACCCCAGCCAGACCCGGGTTAGCAATACCCACCTTCATCTTCTCACTCTTTGATGAAAACCAAAAGCCTGGGCCTGAAACAGAGCGACACTGGGGCTTGTTGCACCCTGATGGCTCGCCTATTTATGACATTGACTTAACTGGAAAGACACCTGTGACAGATTTCGCATCTCCAAAGAACAATGTGCCATAAAACTCTTATTTCAACTAGCAACTAGGAACCCAAGTTAGCTTTCACCTTTCTCCTATCCAATTAATTCCCAAAATTTAATATCCTTTCACTTTTACCAATGTTTTAATTATGCTACTTTGGAACCAGGTTTTAACCCTCTGAATATTGAAGGGATTAAGTAAGTGTCTTGATATTCAGCCAAAGCATTACTACATATATCATCTGTAAAGGCTTTTTAAAATAATCGCATGCAAATGTAGTTGAATCATAAAGGTAGCAACAACTCCGTAAGAGCTTGCATAATTAATTTAAAATTAAAAAAAGTACGCATTCTAATTAAATTTGTATACCTCATTGTCCTGTTCAAACATTTCAATTATTCCAAAATAAATTTATCTAAACCGACTCTACTTAAATAAAATTTGAACCCAAAAGAAATACACCATTTATATTCAATTATACCCCTGAGTGAGACAAGTTCCGTAACTAGTGAGTGCAAGAGTGATAATTTCATTGATAAAGCGTTTCAATCAATACAATGCTACATAATCCTTGGCGTGAACTACATGAACATTTTCGAATAAACAACGCTAGAAATAATCTACACGAACTCTAGCAATAAGATTAAGCACGCTCGCCCCGAATGCGCCTTGCGAGTTGAATATCCTTAGGCATGATAGTAACGCGCTTGGCGTGAATGGCGCAGAGATTGGTGTCCTCAAAGAGTCCTACGAGATAAGCCTCCGCAGCTTCTTGAAGCGCCGACACGGCTGAGCTCTGAAACCGGAGATCGGTCTTGAAGTCCTGCGCGATTTCACGGACCAATCGCTGGAACGGAAGCTTTCGGATCAAGAGCTCTGTGCTCTTCTGATACTTTCGGATCTCGCGAAGCGCTACCGTGCCTGGCCTGAAGCGGTGCGGCTTCTTCACGCCGCCAGTCGCCGGAGCCGACTTCCTAGCAGCCTTAGTTGCCAACTGCTTCCTCGGAGCCTTACCGCCGGTTGACTTGCGAGCAGTTTGCTTCGTACGAGCCATCCGTGATCACCGTAAAATAACTACGACGGAAATAATTTTGGTCGTTCTTTTCTTTTCTGCTCTTTCCTTCTTGGCGAGCGAGGGAAGAGTTATATAGTGTGGTTTTGAAATTGGGGTTTGTGCGCGAAGGGTGAGGGAGAGTGAAAAGATGATTGTGGCCGTTGATTAGTTGAGAGATGGGCGGGTGTGATTTGTTTGTATGTGACAGCACGCGGATCGATGACATGGCACGTGGAGGAGTTGAAATGTGGAATGGCCAGCGTTGATCTGGTAGTAATGGAAGGTTGAGATTGAATTAGATAAAAACGACGCGGATCGATTATTGTGATAACGCAGACAAATAAAAAAGGTAAAGAATTTTTTATATTTAGGAGGATTCTGAAAATGGGCTCCAGCCTCCAGTCCTCCAAACTCCAAAGTCAAGAACCAACACAGTTTTATTTCTGGGCTTTGAAGTTAGAACTCGTTTGTCAAAAACTCAGTCCCCTTTGTTAAGGATCAATGTATAATTAGTAGATTATCGATGACGAGTAAAGGACTTGAATCTTGATTAAAAAAAAGGGACTTGAATGAAATATTAAATTGATTTATACTTTTGTATATAAGAAGAAAGACTAGAAAAGTTATTAAAGTTTTACATGACTCCATATTTTGTTTGGTCTACATTTTGGGATCAAATTTTTTTATACTTACACCAAATCATAATTTGACATGAATATTGTCAAATTTCTCTAACAAACTAGTTTATGATCGTAAGTTTAGTTTTTTTATAATTAACTATAACTAATTAACAAATTTTATTATTAGTTATCAGTGATTGTTTAAATCTATAAATAATAAAGTAAGGATATATTTTTTAAGTATTTTAAATTTAAATTTTATAAAGAAATTAAGTTTCCTGAGTTATTTCAAAGGAAAATTAGAGTTCAAAAGAGTAATAAGTTGTTGAATTAGAGTGAAAGATGATCATATAACAATAATATTATTCACATATATTGACATAAGAATTGTGTAAAAAGATCCATATAAAGTAAACAGTGAGGAAATATACTTGCTGGATTTAAATTTTTAATTTTAAAGAGTTGAGATTTATCTCTAAAATAATGTACTAAGGACTTATTTAAGTTTATAAAAAACTTTATTTAGCTTATATTCAATGGATTTATTATTTACCCTAAATCTCAAAAGTTTGCTATATATACTTTTTCATTAATAAATATATTATTTACGTCAATATGGTTAGTATACTACTAATTTGTCAAGAATAGTAAGCATAATTTTAACCGTTATACCTCTTACCGCATATGACAAAATTTTCATATGATTATTACTTGGTTACAATTAGAATCTTTTGCCAATTTAACCAACCATATAATTGTTTATGTAGCCATCAAATTTTTTTTAAACTCAAAACACATATTTGTACCTAGTGAATTTGTTTATTTGGAGCTAAATGTCCAAGTTTTTAGTGTTATTTTTCACTAAAGCATTGTAAGTACATTTCATAACTTCAAGCCATTTTAAGTTAGTCACAGCTTCAAAATGACTATAGAAATCTTTATGAGTAAGAATAAGCATAGATACAAATTCTGACTTAATTATTCAAGATTTTGATATAGTTTGTTTAGGCTAATTAAAATGTGTAGTAGTCTAGTAGATTGAGAAGACAGAGGAGAAGAATAATTAAAAGATGATGATAAAAAAATATTAATATTAGTTGAATTTTGTGACAAATAAGAAAAAGATTTAATAATAAAGAAAAAAAAATAGGTAACATGCAATTTGTATATGACACTCCAAGGAGCTTAATAATGTAAGTGCAATAGGAACATGATATGTTATAGAAGAATCAATTACTATTATTGTTATCTCTAGAAAAAGTTCATCATATATATGAGAATCAATTTTCATTAAAATTTACATCATTATAAACAAATATACTTTCATTATCATCAAGACATTTGTAACCTTTGTGAGGAGAAAAATATGCTAAAAAGATACACTTTCTAAATCAAAATGTTATTTTGTGAGAATTAAAGTGCTGAAGAAAAGAAAAACATGTACAACTAGAAGAAGACAACGTTCCTTAATAATGACTTAGAAGATGAGATTTACATAAAATAACTTAAAGAATTCTTCTCTAGTAACGATGAACATTTAGTTTGTAAACTTAATAAATCCATATATAGTATCTAAAATTTTATGAAGTTATATATTCATTCAATTTTGAAGAGAACATCATGGATCAATGTATATATACGAAGGTTAGTGGAAGTAAGATTTGTTTTCTTATTTTATATGTGAATGATATTTTGCTTGCGACTAATGATGAGTGTATACTATATCAGGTGAAATAATTTCTCTCAAAGAACTTTGATATGAAAGACATGGGTTAACATTTTATGTCATAAGCATTAAGATCTATAGAGAAAGATCTCAAGGCATTCTAGGTTTGTCTTAATAGAACAATATCAACAAGGTTTTAGAGATATTTAATATGAAAGATTATTCACCAAGTATAACTTATATTTTGAAGCGTGATAGGCTTTAATTAAGCAAGTGCTCAAAAAATGACCTTGAGCAGAAATACATGAAAAATATTCCATATGCTTCAATAATTTGAAGTCTTATATATGCTTAGATTTGTACATTGCATTAAACTTGACATTGCATTTGTAGTTAGAGTTTTGGAAAGATATTAGAGTAATCCATGTGTTGATCATTGAAAAGTTACAAAAAAGACAATGAGATATCTCTAAGAAACAAATGTTTACATGCTTATATACAGACAAATTAATGATTTGGAGGTAATAGGCTACTCTAATTCAGACTTTGCTGGTTGTATTGATACTAAAAAATCTATATCTGGTTATGTTTTTATGCTAACTTGTGCAATTGTATCTTAGAGTAGTGTGAAGCAGACCTTGACTGCCACTTCCACTATAGAAACTGAGTTTGTTTCTTGTTTTGATGCTATCTCATATGGTGTATGATTAAAGAGTTTTATATATGAGCTTAGAACTGTTGACTCTATTTCTATGCTATTGAAGTTGTATTGTGATAACCTTGTTGCAGTATTTATGAATAAAAATAACAAGAGTGGAAGTCAAAGTAAATACATTGACATTAATATTTAGCCATAAGAGAACGTGTTAAGAAAAAGAAAGTGGTCATTGAGCATGTTAGCATTGAATTGATGATTGGCGATCTTTTGACTAAAGGCATGCTACCAAAGAATTTTAAGGATCATATAGTACGAATAGGACTTAGTTCCATAATGTGACAGTCATTATAGGTACTTTTATCATTTTGATAAAACTTTTATTCAGTTTTAATGTTTTCTCATATGTTTTGTGCACATATTTGTTTGTTTATTTGAGAAATATCATTTAGTTTTGACCTTAAATGAATATGTGATTTATTCATTAAGTTGAGAGCTAGTATTGAAAGACTTGATATATTGTGATACATAGGAGATAATACTTGCATTACATGAATTGTCACCATGATTCATATATTTAATTTCTTATTATGATTGATAGTGGGATCAATAGATCAAGTGGGATAATGTTAGCAATTCGTGTCAATTTTAGTTCCTATTTGTTTGGAACATAATGTAATCTATCTATCTTCATTATCCTCATTCTGTTTTGCACACAAAGGTTTCGTTTTGCTGATTTTTCACAATGTTGTTAGTGACTCAATATTTTAGGCTTTATGATAGATAGAGCCCTATAAACATTTCATATTCTCGTTTGATTTGGGTCTCAAAATTTGCTCATTTCTTTAGAAAATAACACACCATTGTGCTTGAGTAAGTGAGGTTTTAGAAAATCAAAACCACAAATTGATTTAGAATTAGTGCTTTTGATCCAATTTCACTTTTGCATAGTTATATTTTTATTACAATGACTAACTACTCCTCTCCCAAAAACTATTGAGCATATCATGTTAGCTACTTTTGTTATTAATGACCAAGAAGATGTTGTTGTTTGTTCAAATGAAACTAGTGGTATCTACTCTTCCAAGAATGCTTACAAGTGGTTGATTTCTAAAACTACACCTAAAAATTATCAAGTGACATTTTCTTCTATTTGGAAAGCTAAAGTGCAAAGAATATTAGGTACTTTGGATGGTTTTTTGTATATGATGCAATACTTACCAACTTGATATACTTTAATCATCATACAACTTAAGATCTCTTTTGCTCTAAATGCCGACATCAAGAAGAAAGTTTACTCCATTATCTTAGAAATTAAAACAAATCATGGGAGATTTGGTCCCTTGTGGGTTTTTTGACTAATTGTTTATTCACTTAGTAAGATGTTAACACTTGGTTAGATCATATTTAAAGAGTGATAATCAAATGATATTTCTAATCACCTTGTGGTTCATATAGAAAGTGAGAAATGAATAAATTTTCCATAATGAAGATTGACCAAGTTAGAAAGTGATAAAACAATATCAAAATAGTGTGACTCTGTTCGATACTCACTAGCAAAACCACTACAAAAAATGGGTTAGTTGGTCTCCTCTATCTCCTTGTGTGATACAAATTAACATTGATGAAAACTCTAAAGAATCCAAGACCATCAAATTTTGAAGGTTGATAAGAATTAAAATATGATTGTAATTTGTATAATCATATTTTAGGATATGCAATAGATTTTATCATAATTTACTTAGGAAGTTAAATTTGTATATTTTTGTTAGGTATTGATGTGATTTATTTTTAGTAATTTGATAAGAGCTATTTTAAAAACAATGCTTGTAAATCTTGATTTATATATTGGTACTATATTATCAATTACAAAACAAAGAAATAGAGAGAATTCTCTCAAAATTTATTATGGCATCAGAGCGCAAAAACTCAGGACCTAATGAAAAGGAAATCAAAGAAGAGTAAAACCAAGGGAAGAATATTTGCCCACCATATGATCTTAAATCAAGAGGAGGAACAATCCGCATTAATGCTGCACAAATTGAAATGATAGGGAGCGTAAATTCATCCTTCCTAGAAGCAAAAAATAAAATAAAATTAGAGT